GGGCACTCCTTATAAGCCTGAAAACCACAAAAGGGATGTTCCGGGGGTCTAGCCAATGCAACTAAAAGAAATCCTAGAACTGAAAAATTTACAAGTGGGACTCAACAGCTGGTCTGAGCTGGCAGAAGAATCAATCAGTGACTTCAGAGACAGGTCAAATGAGATTATCCTTCTGAGAACAAATGAAAGAGTAAAGATTTTTCAAAAAAACAACATCATCTCAGAGCCCAGTGGGACACTATCAAGTGTAACAAACATATGCATAATAGTTACAGGAGAGAGAAAAGAGTAAAAAGAACATTTGAGAATACCCAAAACATCCTCAATTTGATGGAAAACAAGGTACAGCTGCACAAGGAGACAAATCATATTCGATCTTCCCGAAGAAAAAAACAAAGACTGAATTTGAGTAAGAAGAGAGAAGACTCAAATTATTAATGAAAGAAATGGACATTACTACTGAACTTACAAAAATACAAAGGATTACAAAGGAATATTATGATCATTGCATGCTAATAAGTGAGGTATCCTAGATGAAATAGACTAACTGCTAGGAAGATACAAACTACCAAAACTGACTCAATAATAAAAGAAACCCTGAAAGTAAAGAAAATTAATTAGTAATCAAAAAGCTTCCAAAGAAGAAAACTCAAGCCCATATGGCATCAGAGGTGAATTCTATCAAATTTTTAAAGAACAACTAGCATTGATCCTTCACTACCTGCTTCAAAAGTAAAAGAAGGAATACCTCCCACTTATTATATAAAACTAGTATTACTGAGATACCAAAGCCAAACAAGAAAAAAATTCCAACATGTTTTGAATATAGGTGCAAAAATCCTCAACAAATCACAATTAAAATGACTCAAGCAATATATAAAAGGATCAGACATCAAGAACAAGCAGAACTCTCTAGCTGCCATCTTGCATCCTCACATGTGTATGCCTAATCTCAGCTGGTCTGCCTGAGACCCCTTAAGTGCCAACCCTAGTCCACCCCCCACCAAAGTATTGAAGAGGTGAATATGTTTACATGTGATGTATGTACAGTGATTCACCTTAACAACCCTAAAGTTCAGGCATCTCTGACAGCAAACACTTTCACCATTACAGGCCATGCTGAGACAAAGCAACTGACAGAAATGCTACCCAGCATCTTAAACCAGCTTGGTGCAGACCATCTGACTAGTTTAAGGAGACTGGCTGAAGCTCTGCTCAAACAATCTGTAGATGGAAAAGCATTAATTGCTATTGAAGAGGATGATGATGATCAAGTTCCAGATTTTGTGGAGAATTTGGATGAGCCTTCTTAGATGCAGTAAACTGAACTGATAAACTTATGAAGAAGATAAACTTGAAGAAGTTACTGGGAGCTACTATTTTATATTATGACTGATATTTAAAATTGTTTTGTTTCTGGAACTCATAAAATTGAGATCTCTAATATTTTTAAGCCCAAGCTCCTTGGACACTGCAGCTCTTTTCAGTTTGTGCTTATATACAATTGACTCTTTGAAGCTAATTAAGCTGAAGAAGCCTGGGAATAAAGTTTGAAACAAAGTTTAAAAAAGAACAAGCAGAACTTACCCCCAAGACATCAAGATTTGTTCAAAAAATAGAAATCAATCAATGTAATACATTGTATTGATAGAATAAAGGACAAAAATAAATAATCCTCTTAGGGCTGGGGATGTGACTTAGTGCTTTCCTGGCAGGTGTGAGGCCTTGGGTGTGATCCATAGCATCACACACACTAAGAAAAATGATCATCTCAGTAGATACAGAAAATGGATTTTGTCAAAATCCAACATCTGGACTGGGAATGCAGCTCACTGGTAGAGCACATGCCTAGCAAGTGTGGGGCCCTGGGTTCCATCCCCAGTGCATGTGCACACACACAAACAAAAATGAATTATGTATACAAACCAACTACCTCAATTTGCTTAAAAGCATCTATAAAAAAAGATAGTAAAATCACACTAAATGGTCAAAGACTTAAAGCTTTTTCTATTAAGTCCCTCAAATCAGAAACAAAACAAGGATGTGCACTTTCAACACTTTTATTCAACATCATGCTGGAAGTTCCATCCAGATCAATTAAGAAAAACTGTGTGGGGAGGAGGGAGGCAGGGCTTACAAAGTGAAAAGAATCAGGAATGTATAAAAATAAATAATAAAATATAAAAATAAAGAATCACATATATTACATATATTTAATATTTATAGAGGACATGATCTTGAATATAGAGAATCCTAAAGAATATATATATATATATATATATATATACACACACACACACACACATACATACAGAGAGAGAGAGAGACACACACACAATTAGATCTAATAAATGAATTCAACAAAGTTGCAGAATACAAAACTAGTTTTATTTCTACACACTAACAATGAATTATCTGAAAAGGAAATTTTCAAAAGTTTCATTTATAAAAGCATCAAAAAATACCAATAATTTAGGAAAAAAATTAATCAAGGAGGAGCCCAAATTTGTACACTAAAACTACAAATATTGCTGACAGAAATGGGAAAAAAAAACTAAATAAATGGAAAAACATCCTATGTTCATGGATTGGAAAAACTTAATATTGTGCAACTACCAACTACTCAAAGCAGTCTAGAGATTCAATGTAAGCCCCATCAAAATTCCAATCACTTTTTTTACAGAAATGAAAAACAAAAAAAGCAATTCTAAGATTCATGTGTAATGGCAATGAGTCCCAATAGCTAAAACAACTTTCTATTGTTGGAAGAACAAAATTGGGGGACTCACAGTTCTCAATTTCAAAATTAACTACAAGCTACAGTACTTAAATTATGTGGTACTTGCATAGGAATAAACATATAGGTCAATGAATGGAACTGAAAATCCTAAAATAAATTCATTTGTCTATGGTCAAATGATTTTCAGTAAGAATGCCGAGATTATTCAATGGAGGAAGGATAATCTCTTCTAACAAATGATGCTGGGAAAACTAGATAGTCATTTGATTACCTCACATAATATGTACAATTACTTTCTGCTATAGATAGAAATTAACTAAAAGTAATCAAAGAGCTAAATAAAAGCTAAGATGTATAAAACACTTAAAAGAAACCATAATGTAAATCTTTATGACTTTGGATTTGGCAATGTTTTCTTAGAGATAATGTCAAAAACCTAAGCAACAAAAAAATGTAGATAAGTTGAAACTGATCAAAATCAAAACCATTGAGCCACGAAAGATCACTATCCAGAGTGTGAAATGACAGATCATAGAACAGTAGAAAATATTTGTAAATCATGTAACTGATGATGGTCTATTATCAGAATGTATAACTAAATAACTCTTATAATTCAAAAAAAAAAAGAGAAACAAATTAAAAAATAAACTGACTCTCCAAAGAAGATACAGAAATGGCCAAAAAGCACATGAAAATATGTTTAGCCATTAGTCATTAGGGAAATGTGAATCAAACCACAAAGAGATACCATCTAACAGAAAGTCTATCAGAATAAAAGCCATATCCCTCTGTACCCTTGGGTGGGTCCATAATGAATCTTCCTGATATCAGCAATAAATCCTAGGATACTGAAAGACAGCTCAGGATAGCCAATCTAACTGTGACTCATCTTCTTCAGAGTCAGGAGTCTCTTCCACCTTCTGCCTCTTGTGTCTGGCTATGGCCAGGAGGGCTTTAAATAAGACTATAATATCCAAACTAAGCTCAGATTCTCTTGCTGCCACACCCCAGACCCTAACCCATACCCCAAGGATGACCTTCCCAAGACTGCGTCCCCCTCCCAGCCTTTCATAATGGGCCCCTTGTAGGCTGAGGCTGAGGTCTGGAAGGAAAAGATGCTCTCAGACTCTCATGCCTGGGCAGATATGAATGTAGGTCATCCATGGGTCACAGTGCCTTGCAGCCAGACTGTCATGAAGTCATTTCTCCAAGGTCCATGGGACTTTATTCTGAAAAATGTACATGGAACTGATACAGGATAACATGTATTTTTAACAAAAATGAACATTTCTCCTATTTTTCTCTTTTAGTCTTTCCATTTAAGCAGTGGGCTGTTCAGTTGTAATTGACTCAGGAAAAGCAAATTATAAGGAAAAAACACAATTGAAAAAAAAATCTCTGAAATGGGTGTTTTCAAACCAGTGTCCTTGAGAAAACACTCATCCCATAGACTTGGATTTGGAAGAATTTTGTAAAGTTCTCTCCAGAGTCTCAAACTAGGCCTGAAGTTGAAGGAGCCAAGAGCACAGTGCATAGTCTGAACCCAGTGAGACCCGCCCTTCAGCAGTTGCCCCCATACCTGAGCCTACTGATGGGTCCAGAAGAAATGATACCTTTTAGCACCCTAAGACTTTGCCTGGACCCCACTCAATTCTTTCCATATGGACATTCTATACAAGGTCCCTGGACTTCATAAACCCCAAAGAGGAAGGCAGGATCCTGGATATCCCACTGGGCAGAGAAGTGAAGAAGGAGAAGTTCCTATGCCTATACTTGAGGGGGCTGAGCAAGCTAAGCTTGAGAAAATTCCCCAGCAGGATAGTGGAGAATGTTCCTTCCCCAGACCAGTCACAACATCGAAGTGGGGATTCAGAATTTCCAGCTCCCAGCAAAATGGAGAAAGCCCTGCAGTCCCCTCCCAGGAAGAAAGCCATATCTAAGGCATGCTGAACTGTGCTGAGCTCTCCTCGGTGGCTTCCTCCTTCATTTCCTGCAGACAGCTCATCTTTTTGCCTGTTTTTGCTTGCTTCAGCAAACTCCATCCGTCCTGTTCTCCCAAAGTAATCACACAAATAACCAGATGCATTGGAATATCCAAACAATATTTTAAGGTACTCCTTTGAAGCCCATTTATAAAGTTATCCTTAGAGGGAAAAAAATGTAGAGTTCAAGATTGGAGGTAAAAAAAAAAAATTCTTACAAATCAAGAGCTCATAATTTGAAACTTAAAATAAGCAGACAATTTTTATTGTTCTTAGATTTATTGATCCTGCAAATCTTGATCAATGTTTAATGCGACCTAGAAGCAAAATAAAAGCAAACAGACTTTAATACAATGAGAACTGTGAAAAGGTACAAGAAAGGAAATAGAGCTTACATAATTGCTATGTAAATGAAGTTTTTTTTGCGAATTTCAGATGATTTAGAAGAATATCCAAATAGAACATGATAATGAATGTGTTCTCCAGGTGGTCATCTCCCTTCCTTTCTTCAACTTTTCTTGCTTCCTTTCTCACTCTCTTTGTGAGGTCCTCTTTCTGCGGCCCACCCCTAAAATTCTGGAATTTCCCGAGCTTTTCCCCTGAGCCCGCAGGCTTATAAACACTCACAGCATGCTCTCCCAGGTGCCTTGCTCACTCTCCTTGCTCACTTGGCACCTCTGCCCATGGCTGCTGAATTTGAATCTCCTGCCTGGACTCTTCCCTGTTCTTCAGACCCATACCCTACATCGCATCAAGTGGTCATTTTTACCTGCATATCTCAGAGCTGCCAGAAAGTCAACCTCTCCACACTGAAGCCCTCTTGTTCAAAAACCTTCCTTTTCTAATATTCATCAACTCATCAGATGGTAACACTCAGCTCAGTTGCCTGAGGATAAGAGTTTGGCTTTCTTCTGGGATCCCTCTTCCCTTGTCCACTCAGCCAATCTCGAATTCTCTTAGGACTCATCTCTACCTAATCCTGGTTACTTTGCATCTGGATAACCATAATAGCCTCCTAAATGGTCACCCTTATCCACTGCTGCCCATTGCAAACCTCTGTGCAGCTTATAAAAAGACAGATCTAATCCCTAAATCCTTTGAATAACTCCCACTGCATTTAAGATCAAAATCCCTTACATGAACACTCGGAACCCAGTATCATCTGACCTTTACCACCTCTCCAGCTTTCAATCTTCCCATCCTCCTAGCTTCATGCAACTCAGCCACAGTGCTGGACTGTTTCAGTCCATTCTCAACATCTTGTGTGTGGGCTCTCTCTCTCTCTCTCCCTCTCTCTCTCTCTCTCTCTCTCTCTCTCTCTCTCTCCATCCTCTGGGCTCATCTCAGGCTGAGGCTTCATCTTCATTTCCTCAAGAAGACTCATCCAGCCAGGTCTTGTGGCACATGCCTATAATCCCAACAACTCAGGAAGCCCAGGCAGGAGGATTGCAAGTTCAAGGCCAGCCTTGGCAACCTAGTGAGAGCCTAGGCAACTTAGCGAGATCCTGTCTCAAAAATTAAAAGGGCTGGGGATGTCTCTCAGTGGCAAAATGTCCTGGGTTCAATCCCTAGTACCAAAAAATAAAAATAAAAAAATTTAAAAATCTCTGCCTAGTCCCTCAGAGCACCTTACTCACTGGCCCAAGGCCCACAAAGGGCAGGTACATTGTTCAATAGTGTTTTCTAGCTCCCACCACAGTGTCAAATAATAGCAGATATCCAATAAAAATATAGCCATAAACTGACAAGCACTGAGTCCTTCTAGTCTAACTTTTTGAACAGCTCTTGAAAACAACATTCATGTCCAGCCATGGCTGCCTGTCTCTAGACTACTCGCAAAGCTCCTAACAGGTATCGCACATTCTCTTCCCACAAGATAGCCAGCCTGGCCTTTCTGAAATGCAGCTCTGGATATGTCAGCCTCCACTACATCAAACTCCACTGCCTGTAAGGAAATATGATTCTCTGGGCAGCTATTATAGTCCTTTCAGGGCCTGGCCCCTGCTTTGTCCCTTGCCTCATCCCTTACCTGCCCCCGCTAAATCACTCCACTCCATACTCTCTCCTGCCTGGATCTTCACACTTTTTGTGTTACCTGGAACTCCTCATCCTCCACCTTACCACTGAGTAACAAGTAGGTGACTTCCTTCCCTGACCAAGGTTCCCAATCTGCGCTGGCAGTTCCATCTCATCAAACTAAAGTGCTCCAATGTGCCCTTCTACCAGTACCATCCAGGTCCACACCTGCTAATCTAGCTCAGTTATTGAAAGCTCCTCCTTTCATTCTCAAAAGCATACTAGTTTGGACAATAAATTACCTGGTCATTCTACTAAATTCTGGCCTATTTTCCCTCTAGAGAGTAACCTTGTGTTCAAGGTCAAAACTCTTATTCACAAGTGCATCTGGCACAGAGCCTGGCACACAGAAGACATGATATGTTTGCTAAACAAACAAATGTATTTATACACTGAAAAAGTATGCACTCTCATTAGGATGTGTATGTGGTTCCAGGGCTTATTAAAGAGAAGCAAAATGGTGTGCCTTCCCAAATATAAAGATTATATAATACCCATGTGCATGCACACACACACACACACACACACACACACACACATACATATACACACACACACCTTTTGAAGAGATTTTGTTATTTTCAAAGTCTAACCCCAAAATAGACAGATAAGGTGACATACATAGATAGACATAGGCAGATAATAGGCATAGACAGATACAGATATAAGTATGGATTTTCCAATGACACACTTCATTAAATAACATAGTGCCGGGGCTGGGGATGTGGCTCAAGCGGTAGCGCGCTCGCTTGGCATGCGTGCGGCCCAGGTTCAGTCCTCAGCACCACATACAAACCAAGATGTTGTGTCCGCCGATAATTAAAAAATAAAATAAAATATTAAAATTCTCTCTCTCTCTCTCTCTCTCTCTCTCTCTCTCCCCCTCTTTAAAAAAAAAAAAAAAACATAGTGCCAATTATGCAAATGGTCAGCAACCAGGGAACTGACTTTCTATGAAGAAAAATAGCCTATTTGCCAACCAATTCTGGCCTTATATGTATTAGGCTTTATCAAAGTAAAGAAAAAGATGAAATAATTTGCTTTTTAAAAAAAATATTTGGGGGTTGGGGTTGTGGCTCAGTGGTACAGCACTTGCCTACCATGTGTGAGGCACTGTATTTGATTCTCAGCACCACATATAAATAAATAAATAAATAATAGAATAAAGGTCCATCAACAACTAAAATATATGTGTATAAATATAATTAAAAATTTTTGATACTTACATCAGAAAACATTGATTCATCAAGTTCTTCTACTCTGCTCAAGTTAGGTGCTCCATATCTATCACTAATTTCAGCAAGTGTTTTGCTTGTGTCTAGAAATCCTTCCTACAATCACAAAACTCACTTTCACTTTTAAGTGACTTGAAACTAATATCTTTCAGATTTAATATGAAATTTCTCAATAACATCATAAAAAGTCAACATTGTTAATTAGTGGAATAACTAATATCTGCTAAGGACAAGAAAAAATTAGAAAAACTACATTCAGAAACCTAAAATACATAATTTGTAAATAATTCTATGGCCAATATTTCAAGATATTCTAGTTTTTAAGTATATAAACACACTGAATGCACAATTTTTGTTTGCTTTGAGATTTAGCTTCAAAGCGCATCACGCTTGTGATCTATCACAAGAACATATATTTGTACTATTAGTTTTGATAATACCCCTTTAGCTACTTACTGATGCATCAAAATTAAGATTTACGTCCTAGCATAGTCATTCATTTCACATAACATAGATAACTTTTTCTTCTCACCTCTGAATAAAAAGTATCCTCATTCTTCGGCATACTTTCCACACTCGTTCTCATCTCCTAGAATATATAAAAGTTAATAAAATACTTTAAATACAGCCCATTTGATTTCATGTTTAATTTTCAAGCATTTTTATTTTTACATAATCAAACTAAGAGTAAAAACCCATCACTCTTTAAGGTGTGGTCTATACACACCTCACACACAACTGCAGATCACAGTTTAATTGAAATACTAGCAGAAGACAGCTATGCTTTATTTATAATTAAGTAAAACTTTTTTAAAACTAAATGAGCTAAAAACATTAAATCTGAAGCCAAGTTATTAGCAAATGTAAAGAGTGACAAAATAAAAGTTCTAATAAAATCTTAAGAAATTTTAAAGAGAATTTGCAGGTATAAGTAGAGTTTTATACATAGTATGAAAGAAATAAGTGTTTGTGTTTTCCCCAAATTCCTATTCGATGAACAAGTCTTCTTCATAGTGTGTAGGCAACACTCTCCATAAGTCTACAGTAGAAATGTATTGCCTAACAGGGGAGGCCTTTTCGTGAATGACAAAGTGTTCTCCCAACCAAGCCAAACCTTGCTTACTATCCACCTTTTCATTCTAAAGCAGCAGGGTGACCTGACAGATCATTTGCTATCGGAAGGCAATAACCTTGTACTCATACATATGGTCATCCTAATTATAGGAACATATGTGATACTATTTTCCAAAGACAACTCCATTTTCCTATGTTCTTATAGCCCCCAACCACAGAAATAGATATTTGAAACAAACAAAACCAGTCAGAATCTTTCCCCCAAATTCTTTTCTTAACTGAACCAAAAGAGAAATCCATTCCTCACCAATGGTGTCAGCTACACACACATAAACCCAGGAACCATTAAAGACCACATTTCTCACTCAAGTGCTACAAACCAGACCATCATGAGAGAGACTGGAAATAGCAACCAGAGAACAGCAGAGGTGAGAGCCCTGGCAGCATTTGATTCTCTTGCTCTCAACAGTCTGGAAGGCCCAAATGTACCAGAGTTCTTCACAGTTGAAGTGTTCAATACTTTCTCCAACTGGCAATCCTTCCTATAAACTTATTTTGAGAATGATAGTTTAAATTGTCTGTCTGCAGCCACGATAAGACCAGAATAAAGAACATGAACAGACTGGTCTCTGAGCAATGGGAGAGGCAGAGGTACTTTGCAGGGGAGAGATAAAGGATGATAATCCAGAGGAGAGACGAATTATTAAAATTACCATCACTCTGGTCACACAGACTGCTGATACCGGAACAGACTGAAATAACATGGGTGTGAGGCTTTGGAGCCATAAAATGATATCTCCTATTTTTAGGCACTCAAACAGAACCATCATTTCACCTCAATAAAAGATACTTTAAATCCCTTATTTTGATTGTTATCTTCTTGATATGATCCTGTTTTTCTCCTGTCATTCTGGGTCACTAACTCAACTAAAGAGAAAGGGTGTGCTTGCATGTATGTGTACATATGTGCATATCCAGGCGCTCCTCCTACATAGACTAACTTAACACCCGCATCTATATTTTATAAAACTATGTAGAGGGGTTTAAATTTATACATCAAAATCTCATCTTTTTGATTCAATTCATTCTTGACACTTTTAAAAACACCCTTTAAATAGAGATGCTCTCATCTGAGCCATTAATAAACATATTGGAAATATTCTATAAAACCTCCTTCTGACCTTATTTTTAATTATGGAATCAACATGGGAGTAACATGTGAGTGTGAGATAGTAGCCACAAATTCAGTCATTCATAAGTTTGGTCTATATGATACATACTTTTCTGATACCAGGAAATATTAGTAAACTGGACATTTGACATTCTATAGACACAATCAATGAAGACAGGTTTTTAAAAAATCAATTGTGCACAATTTACGTTAGTAAAAGACATGAAAATCTATATAAATGTATTTCAAAATGCAAATTACTGTTAACCCATTTAACCTGAAGAAAACAGACATGCTGTTTTCTTCAACAAACTTAACTTCCAACAGTAGCTACCACCATCAGAAATGGTAAGCTTTTTTTTTTCCCCTTTTCCTACATTTAGGTTTGTTTGTTTGTTTTTAGAGCATTGTAATTATACACAGTATTGGGGTTCTTTTTTTTAGGATCATAATCCACATGTTTATTAGTGCATTACAGTTGATAATACTGGGTTTAATTTTGACATAATTATGGAAGCATGGAATATAATTTTTTTCATAGGATACAATTTGCTTCAATTCAGTCCCCAGTATTTCCCTTTGCCCTCTGCTATTCCCTACCTGTTTCTTTTCCACTACTCTGTCTTCCTACAATTTATTGATAGTTTGTTTAAAATTAGTGCTTAATATACATAAGGGTGAAAATCACTGTCACATATTCATATGTATACAGAGGAAAGTTTTGACAATTTCATTCCATCATTCCTCTCATCTCTCTTCTTTTTTTTTCTTTTTTTAGAGCATTGTAATTATACACAGTATTTGGGTTCCTTTTGACAAATTATATACAAGGAATTTGATTTCAATCCCCACCCCCTCTTTTCCTCCCTTCCTCCTTCCTCCTCTTTTCCCTTCTCTACTGATCTTCCTTTCACTCCTTTATTTATTTGTTTTTGATTGGTACTTTCTACATACATATAAAGGTGAAATTCCCTTTGGTGTGTTTTTATATGTATATAATATGATTCTGTTAGATTCCTTCCATATTTCTTCCCCTTTCCCTCCCTCCTTCCTTCCTCTTATTCTCTGCTTCTACTCCATTGATCTTCCCTTTATCTTCATGATATTTGATACCCTCCCACAACACCTTCTTTCCCTTATTTTGCTTTAGCCTCCGCATGAGAGAAAACATCTGACCCTTAATTTTTTGAGTCTGACATATTTCACATAGCATGATTTTCTCCATTTCCATTCACTTACCAGCAAATGCTATATTTCTTTCTTCTTTATGCCTCAGTAAGACTCCATTGGGAATAGCTAGCTCTTGACAAAAATGTTGACAGAGAAACTTGGTGCTCACAAAGCGGTTTCACATACATGACTGTACTTGATCCTCACAATAATCCAGTGAGATATTACCCATAATATTATGTTTCTATCCATATATTTTGAAACAGGTAAACTGAGATGGAAAAGGTGATGATATACTTAAGTCACCCAGCTAAAGTCTGACAGGTCTTTAGACAATCCCTTGATCTTTTTACTATGATATCAGTTTAAGGATTCTAGAAGATTTTAAATAAACATATTTATAAAACTTAAAATTACCTTCTCTAATTGTTCTTGAGTTCTCTGAAGTTCTTCTAGTCTCTCTTTCTCTTTTTTTTGCATTTCCAACTCCATTTGTAATGCCAGTTGTTGCTGAATATTCAGAAATATGTAAGTCATATTACAGTCTGATTAACCACCAGGAAAATACTCTATCACTCTTAAATGCCCCAGGCTAATTTAATTTATACCTACCTGAATTTTAGAAACTTATAGAAATAAATGATCACAGCCACATAATATTTAGTTTCTACAAATATTTCCTGAAGCACAAAAAAGGGGGAAGATTTCTAATTGCTAGTTGTAGGAAGAACAGTTTGTACAAAAATCAAGTCATTTTCTGTTTATCTTGGAGCTACAAATGCAATTGTGATAATTTTTTCAGATAAAACCTCTTTAAGCATAAATGGATCTTCAAGTAATCAAAACTTGGATGCAAAATAATGGGTGAGAAAAATCTTAAGATTATCTGAAACCATGAATAATCATCAATATATTTGTTCCCAACCCAACACGTATATACTAGAATCTGGGTCGGCTATAAGGATGGTGGGCTAATCTGATGCCACTCGTTTTTTTTATAGCTTGGGAGGTAAGAATGCTTTTTACATCTTTAAATAATTGGTAAAGAAATCAAAAGAATGAAATTTCATCACACCTGAAAGTTATATTCAATTCAAATCTCAGCATCCATAAATAAAGTTTTATTGAAACACAGCTGTGCTCATTCACTTATGTACTGTCTGTGACTGATTTTGCCCTGCAACAGCAAAGCAGAGTAGCTGCAACAGAGACCATGAATGGGCCTCTCACAACTTTACACTGCTGCTCAGAGTGCTATGAATTACAGTGACAGCATTATAACTTAACAGGGTTTGGAGTGTCACATTATCACCGTAACATAACATTTAAAAAAAATTATTTCATCTATCATGTCAAAACAAGAGAAGAAATGAACTTCAGATGTTGTGCTTTTAAGGTACAATGGACTGTGGATTATTTTGTTATCAAATTGAATGGCAAAATATGGTTTGTATTATACAATGACATTATGCTAAAAAAAATACACTTAAGCATCAACATTACCACTCTAAGCCTTCACCATGATATTCTTGACTCACATGAAAGCAAAGTTCAGATAAAATAGAAAATTTAAAACAGAATTATCACAGCAGAATTTTTTCACCAAAATTATAAATGAAAGCAAGACTACAACAAATGTAAGTTCCCAACTAGTTCATATCTTATAAAAGCAAGGAATGACATTAGCCAGCAGTGAGTTATTAAAACTCATTTCATTTCAGTGGCCAAAAGATGTGTCCAGGAAAAAAAAAAAACTTGTTGGATTATTAGTCTTTTGGTGAGGACAGTTGTGCAAAGAGTTGATGTTGGGAAAAACATCCACAGTCAATTAAAAAACAGGCAAATGACTTTGTTTTTCCTTGGCGCTTGATGATAGTCACATGTTCCTAAGGCTGCCCAGTTGTTATTCTAAGAGTCAATTCTGGGTTTGGAACAAATTAGTCTCCATGAACAGTATTCATGGAACAATTATAGGTAAGAATATTTCCAAAAATGTTGAGAAACATAAACACATATACAAGTGTTTATGAAGTGAAGTGAAGTCTGATGTGTTACAACTGATAATGATTAAAATATACGTTGTATAGAAAAAGGCTTAGTTGAAAATGCTGGTTAGACACATAGGTGTGTAAAGCTACTACAGAAAATACTTGTATCTCTCATGTGTAATTGAGCCAGCATTGATAATGGTGACTTTCATCCAATCCTATAAACTTTTTTTCTTTACTACTAGAGATTGACCCAAGGACTGTTTATCACTTAGTTACATCCCTAGCCTTTTTTTGTTTTTTTCTGACTTTTGATTTTTTAACAGGGTCTTGCTAAGTTGCTGAAGCTGGCCTCAAACTTGTGATCCTCCTGCTTCAGCTCCTGAGTACCCTGGATTATAGGCATATGCCACAGTGATGGGCCCAATCTTATATACTTAACCATCATGGGTTCTATAATTTTTGTCAGAAATAAAGCTAAATATATCTTGATTTGTCCCACGACACAGCAGTTCTGCAGCTTAACAGTGTTAACATCTTATTGCGAATTTTTAGCTTGGAGCCAAGATTTAAATGTTTTACTATATAAATTTAAGGTATACAATATTATGTTTTCATATACATATGCATACAGAAGTGATTACTAATGGTAGAGAACTTAATATATCCATCTGGTTGCTGTTTGTGTGTGGGGGGGAGATAAGAGTACTTGAAATCTACCATCTTAGAAAATTTTCTATATACAATACAATATCATTAACTACAGTCCCCATCCAGGACCTTAGATCTCTAAATTAGTTCATCTTACCTGACTTCAGTTTTGGACTCTTTGACCTACATCCCCCCATTTTCCCCTCCCACCTCATGTATCCCACCTCTGGTAACCACTTTTTCATTTAAAAAAAAAAAGATTCCATAAATAAGCCACCTACCCCAGGGCTGTTCTTTTAGTGGGTATAATATAGGAATATCAAGGAATTGCCTTTAAAAGTCTTTTGTAAATAAAATATTACTATTTGTTACCTTTGTAAACATGTTGTTTTGCTAAATATGTTATTAAAATGTATCTGTAAAATGTTCTGAATGTGAGGAGCTTAACTTTTTACTAGACAGTGCTGGGTTGGTGGTGAGAAGTTACTTTCTGGCTTAGGAATGGATAAACTTATTTTGTAAAGGGTCAGATGGTAGTTTATGCTTCACAGGCCTAGAGGCAAAATTGAGGATATTATAGTATCTTACACAGTTATAGAAAGAGAGAAAAAAATTCCACAATATTTTATTGATGAAATTTAAGTAATAATAATCCTTGAATATATTTTTTTATAATACCAGCTTACTATTAAGAATTAAAAAAAATTAAAGATAACATTCCACTTAGTTGGATTTAAAACTTAGTGTTCCTTATTATCAAAGTTGAAAATGTTAATGCTAATCTTTCATCTTTCAAACTGTCTTTTCACACAGATAGTTACTGTCAAATAGTGATATAATCCTGTGTGCCTGTAGTTTAAATTGAGCATATTTATCTCTTAGAAGGCATTTACAGAATCCTATTAGATTTTTCTCCTGATATTTGCCAGCTGAAGTCTGGTAGAAGCTTCTTAATGGCACAGTTAAGTGAATTTTGAAATATGAGAATTTTCTTTGTACCTACAATGTGGTCTAATGAACACTCTGGAACTATAATTTGAGGCTGGAAAATACATCTAAGCCAATCATCTGGGGATGAGGATGTGATTTCTCATTCCAGTTTCTGGAGGCACTGGGAAGTACATAATGCTGGTTGACATTTCTTGTGATTCATGCAACATGAGTTGTTGAAATGATATTACTGCAGTGTAAGATTCATATATGAGTGTTGTTTGTTTTATAATTCTTAGGTTGAATTAAGAAACATAATCAAGAAATTCAAAATCATTTAACATTTGAAGTAATGGTTGAGTGTGATTCTTCTTATTCCAAAAATTTACAACTTGTATGCCAATAACTTATCTATAAAAGAAATGTCATTTATGATAGCATCAAAAAGAACAAAGTACTTAGGAATAAATTTAACCAAGGAAGTAAAAGATCATACACTGAAAATTGTACAACTCCTATAAAAAAAATGAGGATGGCACAAATAAATGGAAAGATAACCCTGTGTTCATGGATTGGAACAATTAATAATATTAAAATGTCCATACTGCCTAAAGTAATCTATAGTTTAAACTTAATACATATTTGGAACCTATCAAAATTCCAAAAAAAAAAAAAAAAACTATTTACAGAACTAGAAACAAAATGTACTAAAATTCCTGTGGAATCATAAAAGATCCCAAATAGTCTAAGTAATCCTGAGAAAGAAAACAAAGTTGAAGACATTATACTCCTTGATTCCAAATTATGTTACAAAGTTATGGTAATTAACAGTGTAAAAACAGACACGTACATGACCAATGGAATGGAATAGATGGCCCCCACATAAGCCCGAGTATATATGGTCAACAAGTCCTGCAAGATACACACAGGGGAGGGATAGTCACTAGAGTCCAACATGCAGAAGAATGAAGCTGGACCCTTCCTTTTCTTGCACAATACACGAAACTCAACTAAAAATGGATTAAAGATCTGAACTTAAGACCGAAACCATAAAACTCAGAAAACATAGTACGAGAAAATCTCTTTAAAATGCGTCTGGTTATGACATTTTGGATACAGCACTGAAAGCACAGGTAACAAAAGCAAAAATAAACAAGTGGAACTAGATCAAATTAAAATTTTTCTTTCTTCATAGTGAGGGAAACAGTCAACAAGAGAAAAGGCAGCCTGAGGATTGGGAGAAAATATTTGTGAATTATATAGTTGATAAATAGTTCATAACCAAAATATATAGGAAGCTTAACTCAATAGCAAAAAAAAAAAAAAAAAGTAGCTGAATTTAAAAATGTGACAAGGTCCTGAAACAGTAGGCCATAGTGTAAAAACAGACGTTTCTCCAAGGAAGCCATAAAAATGTTGAAGAGGAATATGAAAGCTGTTCAACATCACTAGCATCAGGGAAATGGAAAAAGGAACCATTTTGTACACTGCTTGTGAGAGTATAAATTAGTAGAGTCAATATGGAAAAAAAGAGTATGGACATTCTTCAAAAAAATTAAAATATGAATCTAACAATCCCTCTTCTGGGTAAATATCCAAAGGAAATGAAATCAGCATCTCAAAGAGATGACCTGAACTCCCATGATCATTGCAGCATTATTTAGAATAGGCAAAATGTGGAAGCAAATGTCTACCTATAGATGGCTGGATAAAGAAATTCATATAATATCCCAGGGTGGCCAACACTTCACCAGGGAACTTTTGCCTGCTCAGAGGGATAAGCCTGAAATCATTAGTAAAGAACAAAAGACAGAGACAGAATCCCTGTCATTCTGACAGGGGGGCAGATGCTAGGCATAGGAACAGTCAGAGGAGGACAAATCCCCCAAAGTTGCGGCTGCTGGAGAGATGGCTGGCCTGTTTGTATGAATGGTTTGACATCCAGCTCAACATGCTGCCACTTCCCCTCAAGAATAAGCCAAGTAACTGAGGGTGAAGACTCAGAGCAGCAATGTTCTCAACAGCCCTATTCATCTAGACACCTTGGCACCCAGACACTTCTATCTCAGCATCAAGGGAGATTCAGCAGAGAAGCTGTTTGTTAGTTTGTATTTTTCTTTTTATCCACACATCCAAGTAGTGGGCTTCTTTCCCTTTTTTAGATGTGTAGATCTGAGACTCTAAAGTGAAGTCTTCTGTGGTGGAACTACAGAGGTGGCTTACAGTTAGTTCAGGAGTTCTCTAAAAATTGTTAGTTCAGAGGCCACCCTAGAGCTGTCCATTTGAGACTCCTTGACCTCTCCCTCCACTCATTCCCTTACCAGCATGTTCAGCCCCCAGTCCTGCTACCCCAGTCCTGCTAGGCCAACTTTAGTCAAGGAGTCTGCCTCCTCTACACTTGCACTAAGTAGGAAAATCACATAATGACACAACCAAACCAAAGGGCACCACTATGAATGTGTGATCATCCATCAACTGCTACCAAGTACCAGCTGAGTATCCCTTATCAGAAATGCTTGGGACCAGGATTATATCAAATTTCAGAGGTTTTTTTTTTCAATTTTGACATATTTGCAGATGTATAATAATATATTTTGGGGATAGATCCTAAATCTTAACACAAAATTCATGTATGTTTCATATACACCCAAGTAATTCCATATAATTTTGGACAAGAAACAAAATTTCATGATGTGGTATCATGTTGCCACTGAAAAATCTTTCAGGTTTGGAGAATTTCAGATTTAGGATTTTTTTTTTTTTTTGTTAGGAATTTAGGAATACTCCATCTGTAATGCTAAGTTTCTTTGGTCAACTCTCTCTTCATTCCCCAAAGCCCCTGCAACCCTTCACATTCCCACTTGCCAATTCATTCTTGGCAGATGGTCATGGTCCCTACTTCACAGAGATGGAAACAGTCACACAGAAACTGTTTCCAACCTGTGCCATGGAAAACCACATGTGCCTCTCCTCTCTTCTGTCCTTCCATTATAATCAAAGAAGTGCCTTCCACTTGCCTCACCATCTTCCAGACCTCATCTCCTCGTCTCCAAGGGAAGCTGACTCTGAATCATCCAGTTTCCTAATGTCACCCACTCCCCGTACTGTGTTCCTAAATCAAAACAAAAAACTCATCTCTCCTGAAAATCTCCTTGAAAATATTATGTTCACTCGCCATCTCCTACTTTACTCCACCCTGAATGAACACTCTTCAGTTCAGCAGAGACATGGTAGACCATTTAGGTCCTGCTCTCTCTCCTGGTCTTCCACGACAGCAAGCTCTCTGGGTTTTCCCAGCTGCACTGCTGCTGTTTCTGCAACAAAGAGGATGCACAAGGGCAGCAAGTTGGATCTATCAGGAAGCCACATCCATGTGGCCAGAGCTGAGGAGTTTGCCAGTGTTTGGGTTGTGGCAGAGGAACTGAAGTTGACATCACTAATTCCTGTAACCACCGAGCTCCCTTTCTTGCTTACCTGCTGCAACAAGAGCTCCTCTGCCTTGAGCCGCTCCATAATTTCCTGCTCCCTCCGAGCCAATTCTCTTTCATGCTCCAAGTCCACCATTTCTTGTTGCCTCTAGCATGGTTAAAAGCAATAGTACGTGACTCATTAGAGACCAAACAATTCAAAAATGATCTTGAAAACTTCACCAACAATAGGAAAACGGGCAAGCAAATTATAGTCCATCCATTTAGAAGCGATATAGTAATTGGGGGAGATGTGTGTTTTATCTGAACAAAGAGCACAAAATTAAAATTATACATTGAGAATGACCACAGGTATGTAAAAAGAAAATCTACAGGCAAACTTGTAAAAAAAAGACTACCTGTAGAAGAAAATACCTAAAAAATGTAAACAGAAATCTTATTTGGGTATTTTTTCTCCTATGTTTTCACATGTTATTTTTCATAATACATACTATTTTTTACAATAGAAATAACATGTATGAGAAATAGTCTGGTGGTCCATTTTCAGAATAAAGTATTCAGTCTTAATTGGATCAAATTATAGTCCTTCCCTTTTGCCCACCTGAATTTTAAAATTAGCCAATAGCCTAGGTTGTACCCTGGAGTCCTCCAATCAGGGTGAAGGGCAGTGCTGCATTAGGTATATAAACCTGCAGAGCCAGCCCAGGTGCTCTTGCTAGCCAGGTTCCTATAGCAAGCCCTTTTGGCAGAAATAAAGGTTTGCCTTTCCCACCCATTTTGAGCATATATTTGATTTCTTATTGCTAACACATGGAATCTTTAAAAAAAAAAAGAACCAATTATTTTACATTTCTTATTTCATAAAAGGAGATTCATACTTACTAGTTGTTCCATGGTTAAATTTTCCTTATACTTGTAAATCCACAATGCTAAATATTCTATTGGATCCTCTGGGCGAACTCTTGCTACTTCTGCAAGACCTAGAGTTAGACACATTCCAAGGTGCTTTTGAAGATATGACGACTCCATTTCTAACTCATAAATAAAAACCTCTAGAAAAATAAACATTTTGCATTAGTGCAGGCTTTCAGTTACAATACAATAGGAGTAAAGTCAATGAGACCAACAAAGCACTCTACTCTATCATGGGTACTTCCCAGTATGGGTGGCATAAGCAAACTGCCCCGAGGAAACTTCTAACAGCTTCCAAAAGGGCTGTTCTAAAATCATTACAGCTAAAATAGTTAAAAATCCTGAAGGGCTTTTAAGTCCAGTGCATGAGACAGAAAGGGATTATTGACTTCAAGTTGACTTTATGCCAAGCAATACCTGATTCATTTAATCCTCACAACATACCTAAAACTTTGGGTATCACAATTCCCCACTGAGCAGATTGAGGAAGTCCAGGCAAAAAGAGCATAAGTGGACAGTTCAGATTGAAGAGTTGGTACTCACTTCTCGATTCTAGGGCTTCACCCTACACTCTACTAAGATGGTCCTCCTACACCATGTATGCCATCTTTACAAAAAGTCTCAACATTAAAATTCCGTGTATTTCCAAGGTTAAGAGTATAAAAGAATAGAATACAAGGCTCTATTATGGTTTAGATATGAGATGTCCCCAAAAGTTGGTGTTTGTGAGAAAATGCAAGAATAATCAGTGGCAAAATTACTAGATTATGAGAGATTTAACCTAATCAGTGGATTAATCCATGGATGCTGATTAACTGGGTGGTAACTGTAGGCAGGTAGGTCACTGGGGGTGTGCTTTTGTGGTATAGATTTTGTCCTTGGTGAGTGGAGCTCTCTCTCTGCTTCCTGGTTGCCATGTCTTGAACTGCTTTCCTTTTCCTTTTTACCACACCTTTCTGCCATGATGTTCTGCCTCACCTCAGAGCTAAAGAGTAGGCTGACCACAGATTAAACCTTGAAACCCTAAGCCCAAATAAAAACTTTCCGTCCTCTACTTTGTTCTTGTCAGGTCCTTCAGTCACAGCAACACAAAGCTGACCAAAAAAAAAAGGCTTCTCACAACCTGGCCCCAAATTTCTTTTCAGGTTTGCTTCCAGGCAACTCCCCTGCCCACAACACACCCTGGGCTCTTGCTCCACTGAACATCCTGCCACTCTGCTGATAACACTTTATGCCTTTCCATCATTGTGATTTTTGTACATGAAGATGATCCCTTCCTCTCAACAGGAAAAAAATATCTCCTCACCTGCAGGACAGAGATCATTTCTCATTCCCTGAGCTTTCCCATGCAACTCAAGGAAGTTGCTCCTTCTCCAAGCAGCTCACATAGTCACAGAAGAAGTTCTCTTAGGGGTAACATCTCAGCTAAATTTGAAGTTAGCTGAGATGTCACCCTAGGAGAACCTTTCCTAAAGGGACAATAAAATTCACAAGGCAACATAGAGAAGGAAGAGCCTTGGTAATGACAGTAGACAAAATGCCAATGTGTCTAGATCCATCCCTGGACAACTGCACCTAGCATTCTGCATAAAATTTCAGAAACACTGATATCTTGAGGTCCATCCATAAGCCTCAAGGCTTTTCTTCTGTCATGAGATGTTGGTCCAAGAGCAAAATACAATCCTACAGAGGGGAACTGACAAAAATCTAGAAAATCATGTGTTTGATCCACCAATCTCACTTCTTGAATACTATCTCAATGATATACTAGCAAAAGTATAAATGGCATATGTACATAGTTACTTGCACTTTCATTTGCCATAGTCAAACTGGAATACCATTCAGATGTTCATATACTAGGGATCAATGAGATACAGCACCCTGGATTCTTGTGCAGGCATAAAAGAGAAGGACAATGCTCTCTAAAACAAGAAATGTTCTCTAGGACCCAAAATGAAGTGAAAAAAAGCAAGGTCCAGAAATGACATGTTATCTTTTGCATTCGCAACAGCAGTGGGGAAAGGAACAAGTATGTGTTGTATGCATAAACATAGTCCAAAAAACTCAAAATTGAAAACAGAAAAGTGACTCAAAAATGGACCTAATTTCCTATTAAGTTGGTATTAGTGTCCTAATCACACAGAGAAAAGCATTATTGCTACTGACTTGGAACAGTCTTCACTGTGCTTCTTCAGTGGGATCCACTCAAAAAACAGTGCTACACAGACATCTCAGGTCATTTGAAGTGAGTAACATGAAAAAGGGAAGGGAGTTCTGCTGCTGCTCCAGAAGGATAACACGTGGGAAGGGGAGAACCTCTGGCCTTAGGGTAAGCCAAGTTCAGTGTGTATCCGTCACAGCCTTATCAGTGGGACCTAAGGATTGCTTGTTGGGCCTCTCATTTAACATCTGGTCCCTGTCCATGAACCTACAATAGTGCCCATCTCTCCTGCATTAAGTAATGTTGTTTTTATTTGCACCACTAGGGACCTAGGCCACTAAAGCCCTTTCTACAGAAACAGTTAATTCTGGCCTGAAGAAGCTTCTGCAGCCATTAAAAGGTGGGAGAACCAGCCTGGGGGAGAACTGGCAGCTGAATAAGAAGGTAAGGTACTCAGGCAGAGGTACCAAAGTTAAATTTAAAAAGAGCTGATTCAATTAAATTTGAACTTCAGAGAAACAATAAATAACTTTTATACCATTTTCCTACTAGAAAGCAATCCGTCTATCTGAAATTCAAATTTACATAGCCTTGCAGTATTTTATCAGTATTTTATCAGGCAACCATCAACCTGTGGCTTTTAGGTCACTTTTCCTATTTGGGTCTGCAGAAGAGTCTCTTCCCGGGATCCAGGGATCCTGCTAGGAAGCCGGGAGGAGGATAGGGAGAGAGGGAAGAGGAGGAGGAGGAGAAAAAGAACTAGAGGCACAAGGAGAAGGTGCAGGAAAGGGGGCCTAGAGGGAGGAGACAGAAAAGGGTGGGGAAGAAGACGGAAATGAAGGCAGGGATTGGGAGGAGGAGGAGCGGATCCACAGAGTGGCGACCCACGGAGCTCCCAGGAGTGAACCAACTCTCCCTCGGCCTTTGGGGTAGAGACCTGTGCCGCTCTCAAGGTCCAACCGTGAGAACCGCCTCTGCTAGGCGAGAGGAACCGTTCTGAGAAAAGGGCTCCTCCCTTCTTGGTGCGCAAACCCGGCGCATGCGCCCATCCCAATCTGCTAATCGCGTCCCGGTGCTAGGCAACAAGCGCTCCCCTCCAGGGCCAGAGCAGGCGTCCTCTCGGCAGGGGCGCGCGCGGAACGGTGAGCTGAGCGTGCGTCGTGGGGGATGGAGCGGAAACGCGCGCCCTACGGGAGGGGACTCGCGCGAAGGAACGCGCGCCCTACGGGAGGGGACTCGCGCGAAGGACAGGGGGCGCGCGGAGGGGAGAGATGAGGAGGCTTGCCACCCAGAAGCTGGGAGCAGGCGCTTGCTGAAAAGAACCCTCAGACCTGGCTGGTGGACCGGCTCTGTGTGGGAGAGGTGAAGGGGCAGCGGACTTTCTGGAAGGAGCCTTGAGGGACTGCCAGACCAAGAAAGCAGGAGACCACAGCCCCTGGGAGACTCGCTGCGTGCTGCGTGGTCTGGCAGTGTCACGCCTCCGCACTTTGGTACTTCCTGGTGACCTCCGGACTCTCACGATTGCACTGTAACCGGGCCCAGGCGTGTGTGCAAAATACTTTGCTAACATTTCCTATGTTGTTTTTTGTTTGTTTGTTTGTTTCTTTGTTATGTCAGTTTTTGCTGTATTAGGGATTGAACCCAGGAGCGCTTTACCACTGAGCTACATCTCCAACCCTTTTTATTTTTTATTTTGAGACGGAACCTGACTAATTTGCCCAAACTTACCTGCACCTTGTGATCCTCCTGCCTCAGCCTCCTCCGTAGTGTCTGAGTTTACAGACATGCATGACCAGGCCAACTTCCCGGGTTCTGTTTTAATTTATGGGTGTAGCATTACCTGGTAGGAGAGGCATCAATAAAAGCTGGTTGAGTAGTAATTGCCAGAGTGGGCACTGATGAATCAAGGAAACAGAAGCTCTAATCTGGGCCCACACACATCAGAAGATGTATTTACCGAGCACCCACTGTGTGCCAAGCAAAAGGGATAAGTTCTCCCAGTAGGGTTTGTCACACCTAAGCAGTGTGACAGCTACCCAATGAACAGGGAATGGAGAGTCACCCTGGGAATGCAGAGTTGATGGCTCTTCCTCCTGGTATGGACAGTTCTGCAATGACAAGGTGGATTTCTAGGTACAAATCACTTGGGGATTATGTTAAAGTAAAGATTCTGAATCTGTAGCTCTGGGTGGGACCTGAGAATCTGCATTTCCATAAGCCTTCAGGTGATAGAATTCCAGTGCTCTTTTGTCATCGGAACACACTGAGTGAAAAGGGTGCAGAAGATTGTTAATCCTCATTCATTTGTTTAGTTGGGCCACAGATTGGCAGAAAGAGACACCATCCACCCTCCTTCCCACCCTCCACACCTACACCAAACTCAGTAACTTTAAACACAAATTTATTCTTTTAGTTATTGAGGTCAGAAGTCCAAAATGAGTCTTCAGGGCTAAAAGCAAAGTGTCAGCAGCCTTTTGGGGGATCTGGAGGAGAATCCATTCCTGACAACATCACCTCTTCTCCCTCTGCTCTCTCACCATGTTGCCCTCCCTGTCTGACCTTGCTGATCTGTCTTAGAATGAACCTTGTGATTACATTATACTCACTTGGATAATCTACTTCCCATCTCAAGATGCTTAATTTAATCACATTTACAAAGTCCCTTTTGCCATATAAGCTAACATATTTATAGGTTTCAAGTATTAGGACACAGAGACCTTTGGGAGACATTAAATTTCACTCAAATTTTAATTATTCACAATAAAGTTAATAAATTCTACTGTATAATCTACAGTTTGCATTTTATTTATACAATTTTCCCAACAATATCTTTTACAGAATTCTTTTTTCTGTAAAAAAAAAAAAAACCTAGTATCATGTGTTTAGTCCGCTTTTCTCTTTATTTGTTCCCTGTCTCTTTTTATGACCTTGACATTGTGGGGCAGGTCGCTTAGAAAACACATCAAGTCCCAGTTTTACCCAAATTGAAGAGTCTTTATTCTGACCAACCAGGACTGCTCCCTGCAGGACCAAGTTGTCTCTGCAGGAAACAGCCTACAGCCTCAACATTTTAGGATATTTAAAGACAAAAACCACATCCAGGTTGACATAGCAACCAGCAAGCAAGCAAGCAGGATATACAGAAGCTGAATAAAGCCATTAGTGAAAGAATGCAATGTCCTTAATCATATTTTCATTCTCATTCAGTATTTCTCATGGGATTTTCCATAATCATAATCAAAAGAGAAATGGATCAAAGTGACCCTAGTCGAGTACAAGTTAAAGAATACCAACTAACATCTAATCAGTTATTCCCGGATAAGGCACATTGCCCAAGAAAAACGGAGACCAATGAGAACAATTTTACATTGTATAAGAATTGCTATTTTGTGTTGCTAAGTATACTATGCTAGGCAATTAGTAATGGGTACAGAGGTGGGGCTTTCCCATGGGAGAAGCATTTCTTACATGAGTCTAGTCATTGCCCATACAGCCTGGCCCATAATATTTTGAAGAGTATAGTCCAGTTGTAGACTGTTTCTCAATTTACTTTGCTTGATGTTTTTCTCAGTTGGATTTAATTTTACATTTGGACAGGACTTCACAGAAATGTATAATGTGCCATAGGAAGGGCATCCCAGCAGGAGGTATGGGATGTCTTTGTTGCTTCACTGGTGATACTCAGTTTGATCACTTGGTTAAGGTTGTGTTGGCCAGATTGCACCACTATAAAATTTCTATATTTCCCTTTTGAAAAATTAATGCATATTTTTGGAGAGAAACTTTGAGGCCATGTAAATATCCTGTTCCTTATCAAATATTATTTACCTGCTCAGGCAGGATGGGGCATGGCCATTTTCTCAGTGACTCAGGAGGCTGAGGCAGGAAGGTTAGAAGTTTGAGGCAATCCTCAGCAACTTAGCAAGCCCCTTAGCAATATAGGGAGATCCTGTCTCAAAATAAAAAGGGATGGGAATGTAGCTCTGGGTTCAATCCCCCAATACAAAAAAACAATTTTAAATAAAATAAACCAATAGTCATTCACCCATTAATGATGTGTTTTAGCACTCCAGCTTGATTCAGTTATACTACAATGGTTATAAAATAGCAATTTTGAAACTTCCATTATTCTTTCCACATATATTAATCAGCATTCTACTCTGGGAAGAAACTTAGTTTTTTCCCTGTTCATCTACATTTGTTTTGGGATGGACTTATGGATACTTTTTTATTCTGAGTTATTTGTGAAACTTATCAGAATAAAAATACAGCCACTTGTGCTAAGTCCAAAGAAACAAATAATAAGTCAGGCTCTCAGGCCGTGAAGGACAGGATCTCACACACATGTGCCTGATAATAGGAACTATGGCAAAAGACTGCCAGAGCCACAGCCTTGCACAAACACCAGTGCAACCTGAAACAGAATATCTCTGCAGGGACATTTGCCCAGCAACAGTCTAATCTTGCACTGATGTCACCCTTGCTATGGATTCTTCATGATCAAGGATTTTTGTTCAAAATATTGATAAAATCCTCCTCTTTTTGCGTTTGTAAACCTCCCCTGGACCTGGGCACTGTTGTGCCCAGCAGTTTGGGAGACCGATACAGAAGAATAGCAAGTTCTAGGCCAGGTGGGTTAGAGACCCTGTCTCAAAGTGAAAGTAAAATGGGATGCAGCTCGGTGGTAGAGCACCCCTGGGTTCAATCCCTAGTCCCACCACCAGCAACCACCCCTTCCCTGGCCTCAGCCTCTGTGAATGCACAGTTTGCAGGTAGCGTATGTTTTCCTGTTGCAGTGCTACTCCTGTATAAACTTAATTTTTGGAGAATCTGTTTGTTATTTAGGTTAACAAATCTATTACACTCATTTATTTATTTTAGTGATCAACTTGTCCCATATTTGGCTGTAGGAGCCACTTGAACATGGCTCCAGGGTCCTCAACCTTTCAGTTCTTTAGAACTCCTTTACTTTCTGGCACAGTGAGTGATCAGGCACTTTAGGCTTTTCCTGTACCTGGCTTGGAGCCAGCTGTTTCTTGAGGAGCTCCAATGCCCTTTTCATGATGAGGGATGTTTGAAAACACTTTCCCAGTGCTCAGGGCTCTCCTTGCTGTTCTCAAGCATTTGGCTTCTAGGCCCTGCAGCCCCCAGAGCTGGGAAACACTGGTTTTTCCTTTTTAGCTTCACATCTCTCTCTCTCTTTCTCTCCTTCCTTCCTTAAACTGAAAAATGGAGAGAAAGAGTTCCAGGGAGGAATAAACTAAAAAACGCCTCCAGAAAATGCGAAGGCTAGATCTGACCCTCTGTTATTCCCTGGATTCTTCTGGAGTTTAAATATGTAACTTTCAGGAACATGGAGTTTGTCAGGGAGCCAGGTGCTGGAGAGCTTTAGAACAAAAGTCTGCTTGAACATAAGGCCTACTGGCAAGTATACATTTGTTGGTTCTTTTGAGAAGAGTGGTTCTATGGTTTGGATTTTAAATGTCCCCAAAAGCCAGATGCTGCCATTTCAGTCTCTAGCCTGAGGTGCTATAGGGAGATGGTGCAACTCTACAGGGGTGAGGCCCAGTGGAAACCCTTGAAAGGGGACTGTGAGACCCTGACTGCTTCCTCTTTTTCTGTTTGTTTTTGGCCACTATAAGAAGAGCTTCTCTGCTCCACCTGATGCTCCCTGCCATGGTGTTCTGCTGAGCACCCATAGACTGAAACTACTGGCAAATATAAATTCATCTTTATGTGTTGATTACCTCAGGTATTTTGTCACAGCCATGGGTAGCTGATGAACATGGGTGAGACCAAGTAACATCGCATATTTATCCTAAAATAAATCTGAATTGGTTAGAATGAATCTGTTTTTAAGATATGATTACCTGTGTACAAGAATGTGTCTGTTTGGATGCTTCCCAGGTCCCCAGGATGGAAACGGAATATCTGAAGAAGTGCTTTGGAAATTCCTTGTCCCAGGCACTGGCAGAAGTGGCAAAGGTTCGGCCCAGTGACCCAATAGAGTACCTGGCTCACTGGCTTTACCATTACAGGAAAATAGCTCTAGCAAATGAAAAGGTGTGTGTGTGTGTGCAGGTGTGTCTAGGGAGGGCTCAGCTTCCCTGGAGGGACTGGGATCCAAGGCAGAGTCCTGGAGTTGGCCAGGAGGGTTTTGGTTCATTCACCTTCCCAGGATGACTTAGTCTGCAGCTGGAATCCAACTCAGGGGTGTGGAGTTGGTGGGTTTGGAGCTGCCAGCAGGCTAAAGTTAGTTACAGGAAGAAACTCCATATGCTTAAAGGGCCTGGGTCCAGGACTATCCCCAGGGATGGCGGGCCCCCTTATAAGACCTCTTGGTGCTGACCTGACTTGAGCCTGTGACATTACCCCAGAATATGCGAGAACAGATCCAGCTGATGGAGGAATATGAGAACAGCCTCAAGGAAAAGGAAATGGCAGCAATGTTGAAACAAGAAGAGCTTCAGATTCAACAGAAGTGTGAAGAGTGTCACAAGGTAGGAAGGGGGAACTCACCATGGCCCATTCCCATCCCACGGATGGACTCCAGGAAATCCCCAGGGCAGCCGCCACCACCGTGCTGAGCACACTGAGGCCCCTTTAGTCAACTTTCCCTCCCTGTCCCACATTTATGTCTGAACCAGGTCTTGTCAATGACATAGGGAAGGTTCAAGGCAAATTCATGTTAGATTCAGAAAATGCTACTGATGTTACTGACATACACATCTAGATTTTTTTAAAACAATCTATTCACCTGGAACAAATATTTTTTTTTCATGAAATCCTTGAGCCCTTGTTCAAAAATTATTCAGTATTTTTCAGAAACCAAACATGATTGTTATCAGTGCATACTTAATGCATATGATTACATTAACTATTTGGTATATTATTATTATATTCTGCTTAGGTGTCGAGCCTCTGGTGCCTCCTCTTTGAAGCTATAATAATGAACATAAATTCGTAGTTCAGAATAGTTGGAAAAAACTGTACATTCATCACTCTGACAAGCAAATCTTTTATCTCCCACAGTCTTCTCTACAATTTCCTAAAAGATGTCCCCTGCCATTTTATGCTTTCCAAAAATTACATTATGCCAGAACAGATAATTCACTTAATGGGGATGTCAGGCTGGAGATCTGAATCTTATTCAACTATCACTACATCCTGTGCATTTGAGTCTTTAGTGCAGTCTGGTACAAGTCACTAACTTTTGCTGGTTTCCAAAACCGACTTTGAAAATATGCATATATTAAACTTATTTTCATTTATAATAAAATGCTCAGCAACCTCATAAACAATAAGTAAATTTATTTTAAAGGCTGAACATATGTAAATAAATTAAAAGAAAGATGGTTTTATGCTATTTTTTGAGGTGATCTAAGGAGCTCTCCCTCAGAAAGGGTTCATGTTTGAAGCAGTTTTGGGGGGATGGAAGAAATGAGGCTCAGTAAGCAGAAGTCACTATCACCCTACTGACAACCCAATCATTTTCTAACACCATGTTTCACTGGTAATAGAAATAAAAATACAAGATGATAGACTCCCAAGTCTCCACCCTAGTTTTGTGGTAGCTTTATTGAAAAAAACTTTGCACACTCTGGTATTTTGAGTCACACTGAGGATATTTTGCACCCTGCAGCAATATTCCTCAGCAAGATTTTGAAAAGCAACAGGTTCGCCTTTCTTTTACCAAGTGTGAGACAAGGAAATTGTAAGGGAAGATGGGAACTGAGAGATAATGCCTGGGCTGTGTGCAAGTTCTCACTTTTAGGAAAGAGTTCATGTGCAAGTTGTGGTTATGAAAATTGATTCCACTTGTTAGAAGGGAATAAACAAAGAGAACTCAACAGGGATTTAAAATAGAGCTGAAAGGATCACCTGCCTGGCAAGGGAGAAGCACATCATTCAGTTCTGAGTTAATTTCCAAGTAGAAGTTGAAAGGGCGAGATAAAAGGCAAAGAGGTAGTGGGAACCAAGATCTGGTTCCAAGTTGGCTCAAGGTGGATTATGGACTATCCCTTGCTATTGGCTACCTGTAAATTTTGCATCACTAGTACTGGTAAATCTGGTTTCAAACAGGCCCAGGAGGGATTTCATGAAATTTCAGCAGTACTGCTAGTTTACACTCAAAGCTTTGCCAGATTTCCCTCCCTTAATCCTTTAAAACCATCTTTGTTTTTGTCTTAACAAGACTTTGTTAATTTTTTTCTTGAGTACCCCAGATAGAATACTAGTCTAGAGGAAGTGTCAAAAGAAGAATAGAAACAGAGTTCTCAGTGTGGCAGAGGTCATTCCAATTACAGGAATCAAGAAGAGCTCCATAGAGTGGGTAACAGTAGAGTCCAGGCAAAGAGAGCCAGCGAGGCTTGACCTATATGGGTTTCTCTTCACTAAACAGAGGAGCTTTGACAATATAAACCATAATTTTGTATATTAGTCAGAAAGCAATTCTTGTTGTTTATAAAGCTCCGAAGCATTCATGTTTTAGGAAAACATTTTCATAAAAATCAATACAGGTATTTGCTGCATAGACTCAATACTTTGAATACAGAAGGGTCTTAAAGATCATGTGACCAAGTGCTTCACCCAGAGCTCTCTGCCCGGTCCCTTAAGGTTCAGTATGGAATGAGGCTCTGAGACTTCTAGGCAAAGATGGAGTGGAGGTAGCCCCTGGGGCTTAGGTTCCAAGGACTCCTACCTCAGCAAGAGACTACAGTCACCTGAAATTGTTTCATAGGTCCCTGAGGGCCCTGCTCATCTTTCCCCCTCTATACTTCAGTTTGGACAATTTCTGTTGATCTGGCTTCAAGTTTGTAGACACTCTCTTTTGCAATGTCCAGTACCCTATGTTAGGATTTAAAAAAAAAAAAATCAGATATTATACTTTTCAGTTCTAGAACTTCTAACTGGCCCCTGCCCTTTTTTTTTTTTTTTCCCTTTCTCATTTGTGGTACTGGCTGGGGATTGAACCCAGGACCTCACACATGCTAGGCAAGTGCTCTACCACTGAGCTACACCCTCATGCCTTTTTGAAATTTTATTTTAAGAGTCTCACTAAGTTGTCCGAGCTGGTCTCAAACTTGCAATCCTCCTACTTCCACCTCCTGAGTGGTTGGGATTACAGATATGTGCTACTACACCCAGCTTAGTTCTCTTTTTTAAAATAATTTCCATTTTCTTTGCTGATATACTCTTTCAAACAATATGTCCATTTTTCCCCTTAAAATTTTGAAAAGTTTTAATCATTTTTTTTAAGTCCTTGTCAACTAATTCTGGCATCTGTGACCTTTTCAGGTCTCTTTCAATTGAATACTTTTTCACTAGATTATGGTTCACATTTTCCTACTCCCTCCTACGTCTAGTAATTTTTACTCCTATGCTGAACATTGTAGGTGGTATTTTCTAGGGAGCCTAGACCATGTTGCATTTCCTTTCAAAGGTGTTGAGTTTTGTTCCGGAGGCAGTTAGATCATTGGTGAGTCACTTGATCCTAGCAGATTTGATGGTCTGCTTTGCTATGGCAGCTGTATTTCAGTTTTGTACTTAGTCTTTGGCGTGAAAATAGCAACATTGTGTTCCTGCCATTCTTGAGAGTGTTTCCAGAGTGTGGTTAGCCTCTACTCATGTATTAGTCTGCTTTTTGTCACTGTGACCAAAATACCCAACTAACTTAGGGGAGGAAAAGTTTATTTTGGGCTCATGGTTTCAGAGACCTCAGTCTATGGTCTGCTCTGGTTATAGTTGTGGGCATGAGGTTAAGCAGAACATCATGGCAGCAGGGTGTGATAGGGAAAACTAACTGGACTCATGACAGCTAGAAAGCAGAGAGAGTGTGAAGAACCAGAGACAAAATATAGAATCCCTGAGGCATGTCCTCAGTAACCCACCTTCTCTAGCCATGCCCCACCTGCCTACAGTTACCATCCACCAAGCAGTCCATTCAAATGATTAATCCATCAAATGGATTAATGCACTGATGAGGTCACAGCCCTCATGATCCAACCACCTCTTAAAAGAGATACCTCTGAACTTGCCACATTGGGGACCATGCTTTAACATGAGCTTTGCGGGGGACATTCCTAATTCAAGCCATGACAACTAATACCTTTTTTGCTTTTTTTGTCTCCTATTTAGAAAGTGATTTCCCCTGCTTTCAATCAGGAACTAACAGAACCCTTTGAGGAGGAGGCCTTGGAGCAGGAACCCCTGCCCGGTACTGCCAGTAGAATTCCAGCAATGCCTCAACAATTTCCTCCTTCAGAGCTAGCTGAGGAGATTGAGCAGAACTTGGAATCCCCATAAGATCAAATCACCAGGAGGCTTTGCCCTGTGAAGTTGCTGATTAAAATGCCTTTTGGAGGCTGGGGTTGTGGCTCAATGGTAGAGCATTTGACTAGCACGAGTGAGGCACTGGGTTCAATCCTCAGCACCACATAAAAATAAATAAATAAAAATAAAGGCATGGGCTGGGGATGTGGCTCAAGAGGTAACGTGCTCGCCTGGCATGCGCAGGGTGCTGGGTTCGATCCTCAAGACCACATAAAATAAATAAAATAAAAGATGTTGTGTCCACCGAAAACCGAAAAATAAATATTAAAAAATTCTCTCTTCTCTCTCTCTCTCTCTCTCTCTCTTAAAAAAAAAGGCATTGGTTCCACCTACAACAAAAGAAAGAGAGAGAGAGAAAGAAAAGAAAGAAATGCCTCCTGGCTCCAAATCTCCTTCTTTAATTATAAGAATGGGAAGAATTTGAGTGACCTTTCCCTCAACACTGCAATCCAAGAAAATAGCCCTGGAGGGAGAGCTCTTGCCAACCAAGGTTGCAGGACTCTGAAAGGCGGGATCTACAGGGCCTCTCTATCATTGTCAGGCAGCTAGCCATGAGAACCCTCATCATGTGTAAATCAACTCAGAAAATAAAGATTTTAAAATAAGGAATGGAACTGAGTATTTTACCTCTTGTTTTATCATTTATTTGGAGACTGCCCAGTGAAAGCACATCATCTCTTATGCACATGTCTTAACTTTAGCTGTACTTTGCAGTCAGGCCTCCCAGAATATTTACACATACCCTGGAGTCTATCTGTCATTAATAACAGGTATTTTCCCTCACTGTATATGCCAGTTTGTCTCATGTTTTCCAATTTTTTATTGTAATCAAACACAACATAAAATTTACTATCATAACCAATCCTGAGTGGACTAAGTGTGTTAAGTAAGTTAATATTGGTAGGCAAACATCACCAGTCAGCACTGAGACTCTTTTCATAATGCAAACCTAAGACTCTATGCCCATTGAATGAAAACTCCCATCCCCTCCAGCCCCCAGAAGCCACCATTCCACTTTGTGTATCTATGATTTTGACTATTCTACATGCCTCATCTGAGTCACACAGTATTTGTCTTTTTGTGGCAGGCTTGGTTCATTTAGCATACTGTCTTCAAGGTTGATTCAAATATCATCAGAATTTCCTTCCTTTTTAAGGCTGAATGATTCCACCCTATTTATGGAACACATTAAATGCCAGTGTTTCTGCACTTAACCACCACACTATGGTGTCTCATGTGATGTAAGAATTAAGAAGGAAACCAAAGGGCATTTGGTCCCCAAAAGGGTAAAGAATGGGTGTGGGAAATCCAAGACAGCTGCCAGGCTTCTGGCTTGAGTCCCAGGGGTGGATAGTGGTGGCTCTTCTTTCAATAAAGATCACAAGAGAAAGAGCAAGTAAGGGCATGCTGGGTATATCATACCTATGAAGGGGACAGGCAGGGGATGCCACAAAAGGGAGCATCTTTGAGTTATTGTCCCCACCCAAGCTTCAGGAAAGACCAAAGCCCCCAGCCCAGCTGTGGCTTTTCTGTAAGATCCTAGAGCAGAGGCTGGATTTACTGTTCATGAACTGAAGGGGCCTCAGAAGTTCTTCATTTCAACTCTGTGATTGACAATGTTCATTTCCAAGTGTAACAATTTTAAATACCTGAGATCCTATAAGAGATATTCTCCTGACATTAGGAGATAATAATGCTTGGCTTAGACGTGTCTTTATGGATTTCTTCTACTCCAGAAGCAAGTTTACCTTCTTAGCTATGTTTTAAAACTCATCATAAATTGGGTGATGCTTGGCGGTAGCACTCGGAGTTAGAATACTATTACAAATATTCCTTAGAATTATTTTCAGGCTTTAATTCCCACAAGACAGCAGGTTCGCTGTGAATGTGTTCATTCCTCCTGTTCTCCAAGAACCCAGAATGCTTCAGTGTGTCCAGGACCTACCTAGGACAGACCCCTGAACTTAGAATCCCTTCTGACTTTCTAAGAATGCTTTAGCCGAAATTGTGAAACATGATCATCATGCTTTCTTTAAAGATTGTAAAACTGCATATGAAATACAAAAAGAGCTTGGAATCCCAATGATATGGTAATGTAAATGAAAATGTGGACTGTTTTAAAAACAACTAAAAATCATTGTGACACTGTTTTTCTCTTCCATTTTTCCAATGATCCTGGCATAAATTTATTTAGCTGTTGTGTGGTATTGATGAGCTCAGCTATATCAAGTCAATTCCTATGAGGGACACAAACCAGCCAACTCAATGGGGAGCTGAGGCAAACAGCATACAGGCCATATAGGAAAACTTAATTATTCAAGATCCATATCCAAGTGATATGGGAATAAAAATTGAGGGTCATTAGGGTAAAATCACCTTAATTTTGTGTTTTGTGCTTAGTGAATAGGAGAGAAAATGCCTGAGTCATTTGCATTAGTGCTCTACCAAAAAAGTGAATAGGGTCAATGGAGGTCCCTTCAGATACCCCTCCCATCCCATGGGGACCCTCTTCTCCTAATAGTTTCTTATCCAGTTCCTTCTGGGTATAGCAACAGAGAAAAGAGTAAGGGTCCTCTGTCCTACATCTTAACATGGAAGACTGAATGTATTAGTTTTCTATTGCTGAAACAAATTACCACAAACTGGCAATTTAAAACAACATCTATCTGTCACAGTTACATAGGCCAGAGATCCAGGCATGATTCACATGGTATTCTGTTCAGTCTCCAGGTAAAAATCAAAATGTTGGCCATAGCTCATTAGTTGTTGGTAGAATTTAGTTCCTAGCAGTTGTAGGACTGAGGACCCCTCTTTCTTATCTGCTTGCAGTGGAGAGACTGTAAAAGCCATTCCCACTATGTGACCCTATCCACAACATGTTGTTTGCACATTCAAAGCCAAGAAAAAAAAAATATCTGCTTTGAATCTCTCTGAACTCTTTTAAGGGCTCTTCAACATGGATCTCTCTATTGATGAACTTGATCACCTCCCAACCATAGCCATGATATCCCATCCTAGTCACCAGTTCTACACACACTCAAGGTGGGGAATTATGCACAGGAGGTAAGGGTCCTCTAACAACTCTTCCTGCAACACACATCTCTTCAGAAAGAAGAGGGCCACATTACAGAAATAATGCAAAATAGTTCATGATGAATTCAAAGGCTTTCAGCCACCCAGAGTCAATGAAGTTCAAGCAGTGGAGGAAGCCCCCAAACCAGCATGAATGAGAGGAAACCCCAGTGGGCTAGAACATGAATGGAGGAGAGGAATTGTCACTGGAGGAAAACGGAGTTCACTAAATGCCTGGCTACTTGGCCCGGCAATGGGAAATGGAAATAAGGAGAGTGGAGACAGAGGAGGAAAGAAATACAGATGAGAAATGGAAGAATATTTTCACTGAGAAACATCCCCATCTTGTGGGCTTTTAGAATAAGTACTAATGTCTCAAACTAAATACCCAAATACTTCTTTTACCAAGCGCTATAAGTGAGATAGCACCTTTATGATTCCCAGTTTAGTAAAAGTTTAAAGACCACAATCCAATCTCTTCATGTCAAAGAAAGTGAAGACCTCTTCTGGCATATGGTACTCATCCTTCTGCATGTCTCTACTCACTCAGAATGAAGTCTGAGTTTCTTGGAACAGCATAAAAAGCTATTCATGATGGGAGGGGGGAGGGGGTTCCTGCCAACCTTTTCTTTTCTTTTTTTAAAAATTTTTGTTCTTTCTAGTTATACATGACAGTAGAATGTATGTTGACACCTGCCAACCTTTTCAATGCCAGTGCCCACCCTGTTCCCTGCGGGGCCCTCCAGCCAGCCACACAGAATATCCTGCAAATGCCCAAAGACACCATGCCTTTTCCCAGGCCATTTCCTCTCCCACATTCTGGTCCCTGTTTTCATGTGCTGATGTGTCACTTACCTGGGCAGTTGTTAATAGGCACCACAGGCTTTCTGCTCACCAGGTTTTCCTTTGGCCTGCCCCGACTCCCTTCCCCTGCCTTGACAGAGGGAAAGGCTGGAGGCGGGGGAGGACCCGGCATTACAGCAGAGGGAAGATGAGCACAGAGTGCTTTGGCTTCTCTCCCACCTCAAGGGGCAGCCCCTGTTGCAGCAACAGCCCTCCTTTCCAGCCTGACCTCTGCTCCCATGCGCCCCACATCCTGAGACACAAACTCTCTTACACCCTCAGCCTCTTTTCTGCTCTTCCCTCTGCTTCCTGCCATCACAGAAGCCTGCTATTTTCCCCTTTGCTTTTACCTTCCCCACATTCTCCCTTCCAGACATCCAGAATTATTCTGGTCTCCTTCAACTGCTGCTCCCAGAGCTTTACTCCCCACCCTCATTTTCACATGCTTCCACTGGAACAAATGTCATCTATCCAAGAAACTCTCTACCTCTGATAATTCTTAATGAAGTTGTATTTTCTTACATATTTCATTGAGTTTGTGAATCTTAGATATATTTACATATTGCTGAGAGAGTTATTATGAATTTGTGTGCAGGCTTTTAAAATAATAAAGTTTGAAATAAAAACTGCATGATAAATGTCATCAGTGCCTATGAAAATGAAGGACTAGTGTCAGGCCAGATGTGGTGGCTTGCATCTGTAGTGATGACTACACAGGAGGCTGAGACAAGGGGACCTCTTCGGCAACATATAAAGATCCCATCTCAAAACAAGACAAAACAAAGAATATTAGGGTAAAATGCAAGAACTTGTGTTTTTCTTCAATTATTCCTTTCATTGCTTTCATTCCTGATTCTAGAGGAGCCCATACTTACACCGAGGGTGTGTGTGTGTGTGTGTGTGTGTGTGTGTGTGTGTGTGTGTGTTTATTTGTTTAAGGGAAAGACAGATTTCTTTAACCTCTTGCCTAACGTCCTAGTTCTCTGATTTCTCTGCCTCAAATGCTTGGATGTACAACCCCCCTATAGCTTGGTTCAGGTTTCTTGATTCTATTCTCCATTAAATGCACCAGGTCTCTTCAGAAAGAAAATTCTTTCTAGGGTACAGGAGAGCAAAAATGACTCTGGGACATTATGTAGTTATTATCAGAAATTAAGAATGCTTT